ACAGAAGATACAAGGTGCAAATTGGTGCATATTAAATTTAGTCCCTAACTTTTACCATAAATATATGATTTTTTCTTAACTATAATTTTATAACAGTAATATAAATACAATACCATGTAAAATTGAAAGCTAACAATTATAGTATGATATTAAATGAGTATTATATAATTTTAAATAAATATATATATAATATTATAAAGAGATCCTTAAGTAAAAAAAATTAATTATATAACAAGATATCATATTATAAATTTATAATATCATATGACATTACAATTATATCATTTTTGTTAATTTTTTATTTAATGCTATAGTTATATAATGTTACATGAAATTATAAATTTATAATCATGATATATTAATAAATGAATGTATACATAATACATTATAAATGAACTTGTAAGTTAAAAAAAAAAATTATACAACGAGATATTATATTAAAAATTTATAATATCACGTAGTATTATATATAACTATATAATTTTCAAAATTCCATATACTAACATTTTTATCTCATTTTCTTTTCATATCGTATGCACGCTTAAATACAATAATACGTGATAATTTCTACCGACGAATATCTATAACGTTTTTCTTCCCCCTTTTGTAGTAGCTTGCTCTAACGATCTTGAATCATAGTAATGGTTACATCATTTGCAGACGCAGTCTTCTCGCTATTCCACATATCCTCCCCGTTTGGTTTCTTCTTCACCACAAATGCAGGTTGGTTCGGGGAAGGAAGAGTCGCCTCCGCGTTGCCTAACATGTTGCCTAACATGAACACAACTGCAGACATAGACGGCCGGTCCGTTGCACATTCTTGCACGCACAGCAGCCCAATCTGGATGCATCTCAAAACTTCATCAACCGGATAGGCTGAGTTTTCCCCCAATGATGAATCTACTATCTCCAGTGCCTTGTCTTCTTTCCACAACTCCCAAACCTATTATAAACAAAAAAAGAATTATATATTGTATCTGAGTTACATATCATTAATTAACATTTACGTTATAGTTAGATATTTGGTGTGAGGTACTCTAATTAAAAGGTTTCAAGTTTAAATCCATCATCTTCATGTACTAAATTAAAAAAAAAAAAGAAAAAAAGTATGTATTACAACACTTGGCTAGCTGATTATACTTACATGTTCGATCAAACTTGAAGTAGAATCGTCAGGGCAATGGCTGCTATTTTTTTTGCCACTAATAATTTCTAATAGTAGAACTCCAAAGCTATATACATCAGATTTGATTGAAAACAAGCCTTTCATAGCATATTCTGGAAACATGTAACCACTGTAATAGGTATTATAAAAAGGAAATGTTAATGTAATTAAGTTTTTTTTTATATATAACTTAATGTAATTAAGTTTGATGTATATACATAGGGAATTTCATTATTAATGGTGCAATTTTTGACTTACTATGTTCCGACTATACGTCTAGTCTTTCCTTCAATTTGGTCACCTCCAAACATTTTAGCCATGCCAAAATCTGAGATTTTGGGGTTCATTGCAGCATCTAATAGAACATTGCTGGCCTTGAGATCTCTATGGATGATTCTTAGTCTCGAGTCTTGATGAAGATACAAGATTCCTCGAGCAATCCCACAAATAATTTCAAACCGCTTTCTCCAATCTAGCAATGATTTTTTTGTTTCATCTGAACCAAATAGAAAGATGTACATTATTCACCGTATAATCTATAATTCATATGAATTTAAAGAATAGTCATTATGTTATGAGAAAAAAATATATTTAACCTACCAAAAATAAATGAGTCTAAGCTTTTGTTTGGCAAGTACTCATAGAGTAACATCTTCTCTTCTTTCTCTATGCAGCAACCTATCATCCTTACAAGATTCCTATGTTGAAGTTTAGCAATCAACATAATTTCATTCTTAAACTCTTCTATTCCTTGCCCCGAGTACTTTGATAATCTCTTGACTGCTATTTCCTTTCCATCGAATAGTACACCCTGAAACATATATAATAACCTTGAATTGTACTCAATTAATTTCTTTTGATTAATCAAATGTTTAAGTGAAAATTACCTTATAAACAGAGCCAAAACCACCTTCTCCTAGTTTATTTTCAGGATAGAAATTATTTGTAGCTGCAGCTATGGTGCTCAAATTAAAGAATGGCAAATCTGTACCGCCGTCATTTTTATCAACTTCATCCTTTCTATTTAAAGAGTTCACAAAGAATGATGAACTTCTGTAACTTCGTCTTCTTGTCCCTATAGAAAGCACATTAAAAATTAAGTATAAGAGAAGTGAAGTGTAGTTACTTCTTATAACCATTGATAAATGAGTAAGATTCTTGATATTAGGTTTTACCCCTCTGTTAATGATTAAAAATAGTATAGTTTGCATGGTACCCATTAAGTAGATAATGTTAAAGTGTGTCATGTTTTAGGGTTTAGCTAATGTGTGATAAATTAAAAAATATATATAAATTTATACCAAACATATTACCTTTTATTTTCCTCACAAAACAAGATATGGAGATGGCCATGAAAAGCATGACTGCAGCCACGAAACCTACCAGAGATGCCAATATTCCCTTCTTGTGAAGTGGATCCTTCTTCTCAGCATATTGAGCTAAAACAAAAGGAAAAGTCGAGAAATATACCCGTCAATGTTTTTGTTAAGATGCATAATTAAAAGACGTTGAATATTCATTCTAGCTAGCATTCAAGACGTTAATGAATGGATCCAATATGGGGTTGGTGGAGAATCCCTGGATGGAGCAAGTGGAAGCTCCCTACAGAGAACTTCTCGGGTTCGAGGTTGCCCCATTCGCCCCTCCCCCACAATGTAATTATGTTCAAAAAATATATATATATATATATATATATATATATGGGGTAGGTGGGTGCTGTCACCTCCACCACACCAACAAAATTTCTGGAAGTCTCAAACAATGGAAGATTTGTCAACACTAAGTTTGAAATCGTGGCGATCAATCCCCATCAACTGTTTACAAATAAAGAAATGACAATTCAATAACCAAGAAAAAGTAGAGGAAATTCCAACAGGTTAAAGTTCATAAAAATATATATATATTACGACGGGTTGAAAAATTCTTGGTAGTTAATTATAATGAAATAACTTAAGACCCACGTTAAAGTCAAGGATCAAAAAACATCTACCCTACTTTTCGCCTCTAGCAACCTACTTTTTCGCCCCTCGAATCAGTCCTATCTCTACAACAATCTAACACGTTAGCCAACGAAAAAAAAAACTATAATTATAATGTCAGTTATAAATTTATAATAATTTATAATTTTTATATGATATCAAATATATAATAATATTATAAATAAATTTTTAATTAAAAAATATATATAATAATACATTATATTATATTATAAATTTATAAAAATATAATATTTTTGTAAAGATTAAAGTTCTATTTTGATCTCTCAATTATTGTACAAATAGCTGATTAAATCTTTTAACTCAAAAAATTTTTGATTCAATTCCTATTATTTATTATTTCAACTCCAACTTAGTCTTTTCATTAAAAATCCACTTATGTGTCCCGTTATCTGACATGAAAAAGATGACATGTAAAAATATTTTAACATATAGGATGTCCAAAATGACAAAAACAATGATATAGCAAGAAAAAACTTTAAAAATTTTCTTTTTTTTTTCTTTGTTTTTCCTTTTTTTCCCTTTCCTCTTCCTCTTCCTTTCCTTTTGCCTTCTACAAACCCTAACACCTAATATTAAATCCAAGCATAACACAAATATAAACCTAAAATCTCCCCAAAATAGTTACTGGTCCTAAATTCTCTCTCTAAGTCTCCCAAAAAACCTAAAAAAATCGAAGCATTTGCTCCCAAATTTCTTTAAAAAAACACACTTAAAGCATCTTTCAAGTCTTTCAAACCCAGTACCAGTAGATTCACTAGGTTCAAGAACCTAGCAAAGCTGCTGATTTCGATCAAACCTATCGAATCAAAGGTAGCAGATCAGCAAGCAAGGATCTAGGAAAAGAAGATGAACAACAAAAGAGGTTGGAGATGAAAAGGAAGGGGTAATGAAATGAAAAAGGAAAGAAATTGATGTGTGGTTGAAGTGAGGGTAAAAACATAATTTTAATTTTATAATTAGTTTGAGATACTTTAATTTTTAATTGAAAATTACATATCTAGTATTATTTGTCATACTATTAGTATCACATATCAAAATACTTTTACATGTTATCTTTTTCTCGTCAAGTAACGAGACACATAGGTAGATTTTTAAGAGAAAAACCAAGTTGGGATCAAAATAATAAAATAATAGAGATCAAATTAATTGTTTTTTGAGTTGAAAGACTCAATCAAAAATTCATACAATAGTTAAAAGATAAAAAATAAAGATTTAACCTTTTACAAAAGATGTATACCATCAAAAGAGTAACAAGGAAGTTTGTTGGAAAGAGATAAAGATTGGAAAATAGACACTTACCTAATTCAATTGCATCAACCCTAACATACAAATCTTGTCCATCATCACTATAGGTTCTAGTATCCATCAAATCACCATGCCACATCAAGCAACCAAGCTCTCCATTACTCTGATAATATGCACTTGCATAAGCCATGCATGAACAATTCCCCAAGCAAATTTCTCCACATTGTTTCAATCCCAAGCTCACGTTTGCACGTACCACCGAAGTATTCGGTATCTTCACACGTGCAAACTTCACGAACCCCTCTCCTCTTTGACACGTGTACGCGCCGCCACGCTTCCTTTTGCACCCGCCGGAGCCATCTCTCAGGTACCATTCCGCAGGCGACTTGGGTTCGTACCCTGGTAAACAGGTGCATTCAAACTTCTCTGGAGTGTATGGATTGCAGTTAGAGTTGGGGCCGCAGTGGTTGTAAGAATCACACTGTTCCTTTGGGGCAGACCAAAACCCGATCCAGTGACCGTCTTTGGCACTCCACGTGAACCTTTGTATAATTCCGGACTCGGTCACAAGCATCCTGGTGATGATGGAGGCGACCTTGACGCTATACATGATGGCTATTTCACTGTCACTGTTGACGAAGCTAACATTGAAGATGTAACTTCGGCTCATTTCCGGTACGCCGGTCAGTTTTTGCCCTGTCCAGGAACCACTCCGCCACTGAAGGGTGGATCCATTGTATAAAGACACCTGTGGGAGGCCGGTTGGATCAATCCTGTAAGAGTAGTTCCCAATTCCAGGGTCGTCCGAAGATTTCCAGGATGTCAAGAACCGATTCAGACCCGTTCTCAGGTCTATCCCCAGTTTCATAAGCGGAAGCAGTGTATTGGATGGATAATCAAAACTCTGCCAGAGCAGAGTCCTTTTAGTGTCATCCTGAAACAGAACAAGATTCCCTGTATCCAAGAGCTGCGCCATGGAATTCTTGGATCCTGCCTTGCTGGAGACATTCGCTGACCAGACAGTAAGTGTTTGGTTCTTTTTGAAGAGCACGAGGCTTCCTTGACTATCGATTGAGAGAACTCCGGAATTGTCATCGATGGGGTTGTCTCTGTTTGCCACCCACACCACTGTTCTTTGGGGAACTTGGTTGTACCAGATGCCGA